AGGAACTGTCTACATCGACAAGGGCCCCAGTGGTCTGGGCAGTGTGGCTCATGGGTTTCCTCATGTTTGAAGTTATGTAGCCTACAGTGAGTGGCTGAATGTCTTGGCACCTTGCTTTGGGGATATATAAAATATGAAAGGACAGCAGGCATGTACCATGGCCGTGGAAATGCTACTACCAACACTATCTCACAGCATACCTCCTGTGTGTGAGCCATGTTAGTCAAAATAGCACCACCCTCTTCCTGCATGTTTCTAGACTATTTATTAAAGCTAACCTCCCTGATGTTTTCTTCATAAAGGTCATAGACTGAGAAATAGCTAACTTGGCTCCCCTGGTACCAGGTAAGCATGCACTCACTGTGTTCTGGGGCCGCATCTCTACAACCAACTCTAGGAATATACACAAAGTAGTACAGTCACACACTCAGGTAATTTCTATGTTTGGGTCCATGTTATGTTCACAGATTCTTGGGACACTGATCGTGCTCAAACGTCCAGGCGAGGCTTCCTGCCTGTGGGGCATTTTTTAAGGGAGTTGATCAGAATGACAGCAGAACACAGCATACAAGCAGCTGGAGAATTACTTGCAAAGTTCCAGGTTTAGGGAGCTTCCCACGGCCTATTTGGCTAGAGCCAAGGGCTAAAAGGTCAAAGGGAGAAGAACTAAAATGAGCTAAAATGCCAGGGACAGTCAGGAGCCAGATTATACCAAGGCCCAAAAGGCCAAGTTAAGAATTTGTAACCCTATGCATGCTGGAAACAGTCGGAAACTATCATTCATCTTCGCACAAGGTTAGTGACTTAAACAACATGGCGGCAGCGCGAGGAGTAGGACCTTCAGCAATCGCACACACAGGATCACGACTGCACCTCCATCTAGTCATAGGCTACAGATTATGTGTAGCTCCCACACGGAGTGGAGTTTAGACACAAGATTCTGGTACCAAAAGCCTTGGACAAACCGCTCCCTCCCTCCATCAACACCTTGAGCTTTGTAAGATTTCCTTTCTGAAAGATGCACACGCTGAGATGGGAAACCTCGGTTAAGCTCTTCACACTTATGATGCCACCTGTTAGAACACGCAGCCCATCAAAAAATTCGTCTCAAAACTTCTGCTTAGTCTAGCTTCAACCACTTTCGTGCAGCCCCTGATTTGTCCATCTCCCACTTGCCAGCACATCCCATCTGCGGGGTTGAGATAAATAAACTCTTACTATATCGTTCATAAATGCTTCAGAGTTTTCCTCTCTAAATGGTAAGGACTCTTGTATTCACTGAATTCAAAGTAAGAATATATCACCCCTAAATACTTAGCAAGTACACTTTTTCAACCATTGAAGTAGCCAGGTAGCATTGAAGTTTCTCCGGTCTGTTCATAAATTTTTAAACTGTCTGAAACAGGAACCAGATCTAGACATTGCAGTCAGTTGATACATATCATCATCCCCTTTTAATTTGTTCTCTATCAACTTCTTTGTTGTCCCAGTAGCTTCACTGACCTACATCGTTCCCAGGATGCTGGATATAGACCCTGTTGTCCTGGAGGATGATCTTAGTCAACTGCGATCCTCTGCTTGATGGTGAGATTAGAACTGTTTCCAATACAAGTTCAGTGCAAGTTTGAGGAAAAATTATTTTGTCACTGGCATCATTGACCAGTGTCGAATTTACATTCATCAGTTCACAGCAGGAAGTGTACCTGTGGAGTTCTGCCCATCGGATGAATAAGTCCATGCACTGAACCCTTGCAGAAGCATTGGCAAAGTCGACTCATTATATCTCGGTGGTTGCCATTATTCTGAATTGCAGAAACACACAAAATTAGCAAAGGAGCTGCTGCTTTCCCTCCACCAGGTACCAGGGAGGCTGGGGGGAAAAGGTGAACTGGTAGGAAGCACGCAGTGAATCTGGAAGGAAGAAAGTGCTCAGAACACAAGCTCTTGTGAAACAGCCCTACCAAGAAGACAGCCACCTTTTCCTCCTCTGTTATATCAAGATAGATGACCACAACGGTCTCCGCTGGGTGACAACCACCCCGGCGTCCATGCAAATTGCGAATGAGTGAGTATGCAAGCACACACCTTCACTGTAAAGTAGCCGATCCACATGGAGAAGGAAGAAATGGAAAGTTCTCATAGGCCGTGATTCTAGTAATGATTTTCTCACCAGTATCCACACGTTTATGGAAGCACAAGGTTAAGTCCAAACCAAAAAAAAAACAAGAAAGTAGGAAAAACCTATAAATAAGATGCAGCAGTTTAAAAGCAAATGGCCTCCAAGGGGAATAGTACTAATAAGAAGTCTGTCTTGTTAGAGTAGGCATGATCTTGTTGAAGTAAGTGTGCCACTGTGGGAGTCTTCTATGCTCAAGCTACTCCAGGTGAGACAGACCACTTCCTGTTGACTTTGAGTCACCATGGAGCAGCTCCTTCTCCAGCACTGTGCCTGCCTGCACATCGCCATGTCCCACCATAATGATAATGGACTGAACCTCTAAACTGTAAGTGAGCCACCCCCAATTTAGTGTTTTCCTTTATAAGTGTTGCTGTGGTCATGGTGTCTCTTTGCAGCAACAGAAACCCTAACTAAGACGCAAGCATATATCTCTCCCCTCCCTACCGAAATCCAGAGATACCGGCTATGGGATTTGACAGGAGGAAGTGGGGAGAGGAAGTTGGAGCCTCCTGTTCTGACCACTAGATCTGTGTTGGCACAGGTCTTTCCTACTATGTTGGCAGCCAGCCATCCTCCAATACTCCTCAGAACTTGAAAGATACTGACATCCAGCTCAAGTATTATTCCCATTAAAAAGGATCTACTATTTTTACACCATCATCTTAAGAGCATTCATTGTTCCTTCCTTCCTCGTTCCTTATGGCATACTTGGAGAGAAACACTGTGCAGGCCTTGGCAGGCATGGCCAGAGGCTAAACATGGCTGGGCGCTGTTTGGCAGCTTTTATATGGCTGTTTTTTAACTGATGTACTTGAATTTCCCACTGCAAGAGGCATCAACTCGGACTCCAAAAAACCACCTGCATGCAAGACATTTTAGCTTCTACTATGGGTGTTGGATTCACAGCCAGGAGTTTTAAGCCACCTACTTTCTTCTTAAGCAGGTCACTTGCTTTCCCTAGATGAAAGACGATTTATCCTTTGGTTTTTACAAGGCTGGGAAGATGAAAGTGGTGTTATGTTTAAACGCTTTTGTAGACTGGACTTCACACGAATCCTAGCATGTTACATACTCCCTTAAACTGGCATGATGAACACGCCAGTCCCCATTCATCCCCCAACCACTTATAGAAAGAAAAGTAGAGCTGTCGTGGTTCAAATTACTCCTCCTCCCCAGCTCCCCAGGTGCAAAGAGCCTCTTCTAAGTAAGCAAGAGAGAGGTTGAGGAAGAATAATGTCCTTCCCAATGGACATTATTCTAAATTAACAGCCAAGGGAGTCCTCAGTAAGAACTGTGCCTGGTGATGCTCAAGCAGAAGAGTCTGTGCATGGCACCTTCTTAGCAGTGTCCGGTCCCACTGGGCCTTGATACAAAGACTGATGTGTGGATAGCTCTATCTGCTTTTTTTTTTTTTCTTCAGATAGCCATACCAGAAAGGCTTTCTCCCACTACTAACCTGCTTTGTACCCAAGAATAAGCCCCCTCCTCCTCAGTGTGGACTTACCGTCTGAGAACTGAGTCTATACTGATTCCTTGGAAGGAATACAAACAGGTCTTAAATTCCCAGATCATGTTTGCCTGGATCTTAACGTGGTGGATACGGCCACTTGGGATTCCAGAGCCAGTGGCTTCACCTACAAGCTCCATTTTCCTATCCTGTAAGGGAGGGATAGTAAATCCAGCCTCACAAGTGGAAAACCATGAGGGCCTGGGGTACAACAGGTGACTAATGAAGAGACACATCCACTGCTCACTTCTTTCCCACCGAGGCTGCTTGCATTAGCAAGCAGCCAGCTTTTTGAATGAAGTAGAAATAAACTCACTAAGAAGTGTTCTAAGACAGAACACCTTTGCCACAGTGATATCGAAGTGACTGACACTCGACCTAGCGAAGCTTTCTTCCAAGTCTTGAAAAAAAAAAATCTAAAGTTCGGGGGAAGCTTACCAGCTCTCCACAACATCTCAGTGCCACCCTGATGGAGACAACTTACGATGGCCAATCAGGACTTCCAGAGAAAGCAGAAGGAAGGCCTTCCTTCCTCCACCCAAACGAGGCAAGGCCTTCGTAAGACATGAACACCGTCCCTCTTCTCATGATCTCGTGAAATCGATGTGTGAGGGGGCAATGACCAGAAACTACGCCTGCGGCTGTAGTTCATTATATTTATTTTGGAAAAATATTTTTAAGATGAATTTCTTCGTTAACAAAACAGTAAAAAAAAAAACTCAAATAACATTTGCACAATATTCCATAAATACATTTATATACAAAAAAATATAGTCACATAGACCCGAAGTGCCTTTGTACATATTTACCAAAATTTAAATTATAAAAAAAATGAACATCACAAAATACTCAAGCTTTACAGATATCATGAAAAATATTTTTACAAATCCAAAAAAATAACACACGCTTTTTTCCCCCATCTAGAAAAAAAAAAAAAAAAAAACACATTTCAGTATCAAAAAAAGGACAATAAAGGCAGTTGTGTTTCTAGTTCAAGGAAAGACTGGCTCATAGTAATCCAAGATAGACATGTCGGCAGTGCGCTCTTCCTATTTGTATCAAGTCACTCATCCACTTAAATATATAATCTTCAAAGCAACTGTCCATAGTGCAATGGGAACATCCAGCAGGCAGTGCAGGGGCAGCCAAAGCCGGGCTGGCAGTGTCCGGCACCTCTGCTAACTCCGAGAGGACCAGCTCCGCCTGAGCTGTTTCTCAGCAGTAGCAGCAGTCCCTGGAGTCATCTTCCCCTTCCTCCTTCAGCAGCATCCGTTGGGGCTATATCCTTGGAATTTTATTTAAGAGAAATGGGAATTTTTGCCACATCGCTTCCATCTTACACCTAGAAAGGCCCGGGAGACAGGACAGGAAGTTAACGCCAGACAGAAACGGGCCTTCTCCATATTACCCATGGCCTGCGACGAGGATGTGGGGCACTGACCTCAGTTGCTATGATGCACTCATCCTTCTGTGCAGATAGGACATATACTGACTGGTACTTGGTGTCCTTTGAAGCAGAGTAGACAGACTCGGGCCTTTTTCTGTCAGGGACCTCTCCACTGAAAGGAAACACAGAAAGGGCCACAGTAAGCACACGGGAACGTGGTGGAACAGGACATACCTAGAACATGAAACGACCTTCCTGCCCTCCTTGCCCAGCTCACAGCACACACCCCCTGAGTGTCGAAGTTCCCTTCTCTTCTCCTGCAGAGCTCTGTGACTGGCACTTGGTGTCACGTTTGCTGTGTGCATCCCTGATGGTGGCTTCATCTCCCTTGAGGTCTCGAACGAGGTTATAGTCCACAGCAGGGTATCGGGCCTTAAAGCGGCTCTCGTCGGCACCATGGTCCCCGTGAAAGTCCGCCTTCTTGTTGGTGTTCTTGATCTGTGTAGCCCCAATGATGCTGACGGAAACATCTTTCTCGCGCTGGCAATTGGCCAGGTTGTTCATGGTCTCTGTCTCTCCCCCACAAGGATCAGGTGGGGGCTGGTGTTTCTGGAGCTTCAGCCGGACGCAGACGACCACAGCAGCACAGCCCAGCAGTAGCATGAGGACGAGTACCACCCCAGCGTACACTGCCACCCAGGGGAAAGGCCCGCCCTGGCTCTCCATATGCCTCTCACTAAGGTCCACCACCACGGGGCCCTGTGGTGGCTCAGGGAGCAGGAACTGGCAGTTGGGGCCTCCATAACCCTGGGCGCACTCACACATGTAGCGTTGGCCGCTCTGGTGGCACGTGGCCCCATTGTGGCAGGGAGCATGCTCACATCTGCTGACAGGGGAACTGCAATTCCTGCCTGTGTAACCAGGTGGGCAGGTACAGGAGAAATCATTCACACTATCCCGGCAGGTGCCCCCGTTTGCACACGGGGAGGAGGCACAGTCATCCACATTCTCCTCACAGTATCTCCCAGAGAAGCCAGCCTGGCATCGGCATAGGTAGGTATTGCCGAGGTCCACACACTTGGCACCTAGAACACAGGGCAGGCAGTCACATATGAGAGCACAGACATGTTGATGTAGCACCTGTAAGTCCGTAGCTTACACACACCACAGATACAATGATAGTTCAGCTATGTACTGCATAGCCTAAGACCTCAAATGCAAGGCTGTGGGGAACGCCAGCTCAAGACCTACACATTAGAAATAATAAGAGGTTTCTGTTTGTTTGGTCTTGTTGTTTTTGGCCTGTATTAGACAAACTCTCTACATCACCAGTACCTGTTGATCCCCACATTTCTGTCCCAAGCAAGGTTTTGCTAGATTTGCCAGGATGGCCTTGTACTTGATCATCTTGTCACAAACATTGGAGTAACTGGGACTACAGGCCCCTGCCACCACATCCAGCCTCTAGAGATCAGTGTAAAGCATTTTGCCTGCTCACTACAGTCTTCTCACAACCACCAGACAAGGAGTAGCACACTACCAGATCAGATCCGGGCTACAGGTGGAGAAATGATTAAAGGGAATGTCACATTTGCAGACAGCACACTGTTAGTGGGGAAAGGGCTGGAACAGAAAGTTGGGAAGGTAGGCAAGAATGAAGAAAGTGGGGAAGTGGGGTGGGGAGGCAGAAGGGAGGAAGAAGGAGGAAGGGAAGGCGGGAAGGAAAACAACTATTGGGCCAGCTTCTCTCCTAAGTCTATTTTAGGTACCCCGACCTCTCTCCCACTAGCAAGAGGCTCGCGGCACAAAAAGCATGCTTCCTCATACTTGTTACCCAAACTCCTCTATCTAAGCAGAGCCTGCAGAGCCATGGATGGTGACAAGCACCTAAGCACTGACCCCGAGCAAGGTCATGGCCTGCTGACCAGGGCATTCCTTGGGACTAATCCTCCCCCTTGTCTTCATTCTTCCTGAACCCGCATGGAATCCAACCCAGGGATCCACAAACCCAAGATGACTCACAAAACAAGGTGTTTCTCTAGTAAGAATGCACCACGCTTTTGGAGCCAGTGCCCAGATGTCCCCATCGACCCTCACCATTAGAACAGGGGGAAGAGCTGCAGAGATCCATCTTCTTCTCACAGTTGAAGCCGGAGAAGCCTGAAGGGCAATGGCAGGTGTAGCCTCCGTCAAGGTTATCTGAGCACCGTCCCCCGTTGAAGCAGGGACCATCTGCACAAGTCATGGCGCTCAGCTCACAGACCTTGCCATAGAAGCCAGGAGGGCAGGTGCAAGAGTAGCTGTCCTCAAGGTCCTGTACAGGGAGGGCCACGAGAGGCTTCCTTAAGCTGTTGCAAGAACCCGTACACCTTACTAAAAGCAAGGATCCTGTCTTCAGGAAGTGCACCACGGTGCACCCGACTCACCGTGCAGCTCCCTCCATTCCTGCAGGGGCTTGGTGCACACTCATCTACTTCCAGCTCACAGTTAGCACCTGTATACCCAGGTCGACAGGAGCAGGTGTAACTCCCCTGGCCCGTGTTGGTGCAAGTGGCTCCGTTCCTGCATGGCTTGTGGTGGGTGCAGTAGTTCAGGTCTGCCGGGATGGAGACAGGAAAGGGGGGGCAGGAAGCCCAAGATCAAATACAGGAAGGATCTACTTTTCCAATGGGCATCAGGCTGCTTTGAGAAGACCTGGCAATCATAGAGGGAGGGGCTTACCCTGGTTGCAGAAAAGGCCTCCCCAGCCTTCCTGGCAGTTACACTGCCAGGGCTGCTGGCAGGTGCCATGGAGACAGCCTGGGTATCGGATGCACTCATCACAGTAGCGGCCCTGCCAGCCAACTCGGCACCTTGGGAAAAAAGCAAACCACAATCACATTGCCTTCTAGATTGATAATGGGGAAAAAAATTATCCTTAAGCAACAATAAGCTACCAGTCCTCAAACTAGGCAGCACTAAGACTAGCTGAAAACCCCTGACCCATCCCCTCTCAGAGTCTTTGATGAAGGGCACAGGATCTACCCTGACTATCCTTAACATGTACAACGATGGATATGAGATCTCATTTTCCATGCAAACCTTTTACTAAGGCCTCACTAAGTGTGAGTTTACGTTAATGGCAACTTGTACATTTTCAGACCTTTGTTAGAGTAACATCTCCCATTCAACTGACTCCCTGGGGGTGGTTATTTACTATATGTAGTGGGAGGGAGCAAGGAGAAGGGGTGAGCCAGGCATGGTGGCATGGGAAGCCTTATGCGAAGGATCATGAGTTCGAGGCCAGCCTACGCTAAATAGGAAAACTTCTGGGCTACATAGAAAACCACACAGAAAAGAGAAGAAGAAAAAGACAAAGACAAAAAAACAACTTTGCAAACTTACTTGCATTCCCCTGGCTTGTCACAAAATCCATGTTGGTCATCACACCCTGGCAGACAGATTGCTGCAAGCAAATAAAAACATAGGTTGGAGCCCCATCCCAGGGATTTCCCTGTATCACCAGGTGGGTCTGGGGCAAAATTAGCAGTACCCACTCTGTAGGTCCAGGCTGAGTGGATCCCAGGCTGCAATGCCTGGCCCACCCTGGCTGGTGGCTTTGGACTTCATTCAAGCCTGGGATGAGCATTCTTCTTAACATAGTGTTTCCAGGACAAAAGGGCTCTCAGAAGCCCCCACTCCTACCCCTGTCCCTTTTTCTTCTAAAAGAGGGTCAGAAGTCTTCTCCCTCCTCCTCCCCCACTTCCCAATTCTATGCACAAAGCTCCACCTCTTAATATCCCAGAAAGTGTGTGTGCAGATAAGAGTGGACAGCTGGTGTGCAGCGTGCAGGGCAGGGCAGCTGCTCCATTGTGTCTTCCTCCCCGCAGCTGCCCCAGCACAACAATGCTGCCCCCACCCAACCCCCAGCCTGAGCATGTGCGTATGCACCCACACAAGCGCGTGTGTGCACATACCCTTCTACCAATGGGAACAGGCAGTGCCCCCCCCCACCGCCTATCCTCAGAGAGATCTAATCTATGGCACGTGTAACCAGGGGCGGGGACAGACCCCAGTGTTTGAGTAAGAAGAAAAGTTTAGATCTCTGGCTACCCCAGAACCATTGGCCCCTAGAGTGGAAAGCTACAGTGGGAGAGCCTGAAGAGATGGGGGTGGCCCCAGACAGCAGGCAGCTTTCAGCTGGCTCACTTCCCCAGTTATGAAACTCATTAATGATCAGCAACTCCAGTTCTTAAGAAAACAGCCAGCTCTGGCCAAGGCGGAGCCCTTAAGGATATGGGAAACTAGGCAACAATGGCATTCAGGCTCTCTCACTGGAGTGAGGACCCCCTTCATCCTCGAGCAAAAACTAAATCTAGAAAGCTACTCCATATCCTCTCCCGGGCACTGACAGAGAGGTTCTGGGCCTCACAGAGTCCAATGTTCAACTGCTCCAGGGCAGGAGAACAAAAGTTCACCAAGCCCTAACTGGAAGAAAATGACATTCCTACAGGTTGGACAGCTGAGGCCTCAGAGAGCTGGAGGGAGGTCCACTGAGGTTCTTCCGAACCAGAGGTAGAGCAGGAGGCTTCCCTATGGCCCTGATCCCCTGGCTTGCAAGAGCATTACAGGACATCAGTTACTGCATTTCTTTACAGACCATGCTATGAGCATTTAGACCACATATCATGTGCCTTTCACCCCAAGTCCCTGCAGACTGCCTCAACACACCTGCCAGCTCTTCCCTACGGGACAGGACGGGGGTATAACACAGGGGATCTTTGGAAATGGATGACTCTGTGGGCAGGTCAGGCACCCTAACTCTGTGGAGGAAAGGGAGGGTTTCCCAAAGACACATTGTCACAGCAAGGAGCACTGTTGGAAAATGAGCCCTCCACATCCCCTCTCTGTCCCTCCCTTCCTTCCTCCCTTCCCTTTCTAATACAAAGGCCCTAGGGAGAGCACAGACTTACTTCCTGACCCCTGGCCTTGTCTCTGAACTCCTCCCTGTGAAGAAAAGCAGCTTCCTACAGTGGATACAAGGTCTCCCTTGTTAAAATGCCTGAGTTGAGCCTAATTCTGCCACTGTCCACAAGACCTTAGCGAGACACTTCTGCTCTTTTGGCCTCAGATTCCCCACTGAGCCATCTCTGCCATCTCCTGTTGCTAAGTCCTGTGTCTTTCCCCATCCATGGACCCTTAGGAATCATCATCCTCCTGAGAACTCACGTTGAGTGCAGTATTGGCCTTTCCAGCCAGGGTCGCACACCTTCTCTCCTCTCTCCCCGCAGGTGAAGTGGCCAAAAGCATCGTCTCGGGGTCGGCAGAACACAGAGCAACCTTCTCCATAGTAGTGTTCATCACACACAAAACGGTAAGAGTACCGGAGGTCTGTGCGTCCGCTGCTGTGAAGGTCCTGAGACCACTCTTCTCCTACCGTCAGATGCCTCTGCGTGGTCAGTCTGCTGATGAGCCTTTCTGGATTTTCTGAGAGAGAAGATGCTCAGGTTGGTTCTGGTAACACTCAGAGGCCAGGAACTGAGGGAGTGCCAGGGATGCTGTCAACATGGATTGGACTCTGAACCCCAGGTGCAGAACGGAGACATCGGAGGATTTGGGTGAGTGGGTAAAATAAAATGTGTATCGACAAGGACTTTGCACGGTTTTGCGGCGTTGGAGTCTTACCTGTTGCGAGGTCATCGGGAGAATCTGTGTGCATGGCTTCAATGATCAGAGAGAAGGTACCCTGAGGAAAGGGGAGAAGATGCATGACAAACCAGAAGTGTGGAGGAGGAAGGGGAGACACCAGTGAGGGCAACGTCTAACACTTTTCTTAAGAAAACAGAATAATTTTAGAGTGTTTTCCCCGTGTGTGGTTTTTTTTTTTTTTCTTAATGTGCTAGTACAGAATATTGTGTTTGTTTTAAAAGGGAGAGAGTGCTGGAGCCAACAAGTTAGGGTGGTGGAAAGGGAGAGGACAGCCTGTGTCTGTCACTAGTTTTCTGGGTCTGGAACCTCGAGGGTGGAGAGCAGTCCCTGCTGTATTAGTGACCCAATCAGGCCTGGGGGCTAGGGAACAAGAACTCTCCCAATCTTGAGGAGAAGGGAGAAGCACTGGGGTGTGTGAGAAAGGCTTCTGGTGCTCCACATCCCCTCCTCGACCTCCAGAGACTGCAGGTCAATTCCCCGGGAAGAAGTCAAGACCACAGGCGAGTCTTTGTGGGATTCTCCAACCCTTATCGGTGGCCGGTGCCTTCCTCCCGCTGCCAGCCACCCGCCCACCACCCTACCCCTCCAGGCCCAGCCGGGTGCGCGCAGGTGCCCACTCACTGGCCAGGTGAAGCCGAAGGGGAAACGGATGGGGTTGCTGAAGGCAGGGTCGATGCCTGCGCCATCAGGCAAGCTGAAGGAGTCGACACCCAGCACTGGCGTGACCGCGCTGCCGTAGGTGCAGGGTGGCTCCGGGGACACGCTGGCCTGATAGTGCTTGAGGCACACGCGGAAGAAGGTCCTGCAGGCGCACGGCGGGCCTGAGCCCCCGCGGCAGCAGTTGCGGTTCCCCAGCAGCCCCTTCTTGTTGACGAACTCCTGCAGCTTCAGCTCAAACACGCCAGAGCTCCAGACCTGCGCAGGGAAGGGGCGTGAGGACGCACTGGCGGCGGAGGGGCCCGGGGCGCGCGGGCCCTTGCTAGGACGCAGAGGCCGAGCGCACCGCAGCGCCCGTCCGGAAGCCGCCCGCTGCCGGGCAGCTCTCGGGGTCGTAGCTGCCGGAGTCACTTGGGGATGGACAGCTGATCAGCTCGTCCGGGTCCCCTCCCTCCACCGCGCAGCAGCCCCGCCCGGCCCCCTACCTGGCACAGCAGGGCCGAGACCACGGCTAGGGCTAGAGCGCTCCGACGGCCCATGGTACCGCTGGACGCCCTTGCTCTCCTAGAGTATCCTCTTTTCTCCTTTCTTCAAAGACCCAGGAATGCCAGGAAAGTCTATGTGACCCTAGGAGCACGGGGGAGAAGGCGTCCCTCCGCTCCAGGTGTGGTAATCAGAGCCAGTTGCTTAAAGAGGGTGCGGTGCTTCAGATATGTCCCTGACTGACAGATCTGCGAGGCACTGAGAGAGGGCAACTTTCGGTTTCCTCTTCTGGCTTCCAGTTCACGAGTAGGTGAGGGTCGCCGGCGTTCTGGTTTTGTCTTAAGCGTCTTCGTGGAGGGAAAGAGGAGAAAGGAGAGAAGACACAGAGGAAAGAGAGTCCAGATGTTCAGCTTAATTCCCAAGAGAGCTTGCAGTGGCTTCCTTCAGAGGCCTATTAGAGAGCGGCGGTCTGGAAATCCCACCGGTGAGGCGATAATCCGGGGCCCCGAGGGGCGCGGTGGGAACGGACGGCGGTGGTGGCAAGAACTGCGGCGCGCGCCCTGGTTTCCCTCCCGGCCGGGCGTCACTCGGCGGCCGCTGCCGCTCCCAGAGTGTTCTGGACCGGTATCTCTTGCGCCACCGCAAAGCCTCGCGTCTTCCCCAAGAATTCAGCCAATGCCATGCGAGAACACACACCCAGGACCGGAGGCCGAAGCGTGGGAGGCTCCGTGCCGCACCGGTGCTCTGCCGTGACCTGCCTCGGTCGGTCAGACAGGGTAACCGCGGGTGCACGCCGGAGGATCTGGCCGAGGCAGGCGCCTGCCGCCCTTAAATCCCGCCGGCCGCTCGCATAACTAATGAGATGCAAATGAGCAGCCCCCCAATCTGGCGAGAGCTGTCACAAAGGAGCCACTTTTCCAAACCCTCCTCTCAATGGATCGCCAAATGGTCAGTGAGCTGTAAAATGTGCAACCCTCCTCCCCGCCCCCACCTCCCCGCCCCCTAGTCCGCTCTGCCTCCGCCCTCGCCCCTTCGCCTCCCTCCCCCAGCGCAGAACCCGCTCATTTACATTCCTGCAAAATGTTCGCTGCGACGAACCGCTCTGCTCCTGGAGCTGGAGCTGGAGCTGACGCCGCGTCTCCCACCGCCACAGGCCGGAAGACCCTGGGCACGCTGGGCGGCCTGCGCCTCCCACCCGCGGTCACCGCTAGACCGGCGCGCAGGACACGGCCTCCGGACTCTGGCGTCTCCCACGCTGGCCGCCTAGGCTCTCCTCGGTTGTTCTGTCCTGGGGACTGAAGAACCGGGGAGAGGTTAGAGGCCCGCGTCCCCGACGCTGCCCCTCCTCCCTGGCAGGCTCTTTCAAAGGAGGAGTCTCCCGCAGGGGGCGGGGGCGGGGACCCGCTAGGAAAGGGACCCTTGAAGAGGTGAGCAAAGGGTGGCTAGAGCACCACGGTCAGTTTGGGGAAGTTTGGGGAGGTTAGGCACGCTTGTACCTCTGGCGGAGGATGGCGACTGAACCTCGGAGAGCGCCGGTGGGTTCGCGATCCCGGCCGGGCGCCCCCAGTGTCCGGGAGCCCTCCCTGGTGTCTGCGTGATGTCCGCAATCACTGGAGATGGGAATCCGGGTCCCTGAACCAGTAGAGCCAAAAGCTTCAGCTTACCCCCCTCCCCGATGTACACACTCTCTCCCGGGAGATTTTCGGCCGCCACCACCTTCACTGGTGTCCGGTCCCACTCTCCTGGGCATCCCCCTCAGGCCTCTCTCTGCTTGGTAAAAAGTGAGTTTGGTGTGTGTCGTTCGCGTGGCTGTCATTAAGGCAGTCTGTTATTGTGCGAGGCTGAATCAGTGGCTCTTTGTGCGCTCAGCTGTATGGTAATGCAGACAGCACCTGCTCTCCGCACAATGCGGAGAGAAAGAGCTCCCCTCCGCGCACGCCGCGGCCTCTGCGACAATGTCCGGCACATGTTCGAAAGATTCTCCCCCACCACCACACACCACCCCCCCCAACACACAACCTTTACACAACCGTCACCTTATTAGGTTTTTACGCATCCATCAGATACTATAACTTTTGTTTTCATTTTTTAAAGGGAAATGAGTTTATTGGGAGGGCCCACGTATCACGATGAATTATATATCTAACCTGCTCCCCTGCTTATAGACTCCAGAGAAAAGTAAACGGAGATATAGACTCTGACTTAGCAGCTAAGCTTTGTGTTGAGAACGCAATGAGCTGTGTACTTCCATCTCTTGGGGGCCCTTCTTATTCCACCCCCAACACCTTGGCAGCTTCGTTAGAATCCCAAGGTGTGATTATGGGAATTAGTATTGCTTTGATTGTAGAAAAACCCCTAGGGTGTGCCTGACAGGTGTCCTCACCGGAGGTGTTGTCCTGTTGGTAAGAATGAGCCCTGTCCTGGCAGAGTATCTTTATCGTTTAGGCTGGTGTCTGGATCAAGAAGTATTATAATGTACAGAAAGATGGAAAACTGCCCCCATACCCAGGAAAACACTGGTAACAACCTAAGCAGTTGCTTGGCAGAATCATCTGTGTTGGGCCATCTGGCAACTGGAATTACAGCTCCTTTTTGATGACCCAGCCTGTCTCCTGCTATCCTGTCTCCCAAACACTTGCAAAGTTTTGGAATCAACAGGAATCTGCACTTCAAGTTGTTATTGCTGACTCATAGACAATCAAAGAATTAACAACAACAAAAAAGTATACAATAAATACTGAGGCTGAGGTGAGAAAAGCAGGGTTGGACCCCACTTAAAAAAAAAAAAAACACCAACTGTTTATTATAGAGCAAATGGAGGCTTCAAAAGATACTGTCACCCCCAAGGCAGTGGCAAAATCGAAGTCCCTGTCCTTTGTAAACTATCTAGGGACTTGTTACATCACCACAAGGCTAGGCTAGCTTGAATCCTAACTTAATCTTGCCACCTAGTGTTGGGATCCCTTTTTCACTAGGTTAACATTTCCTCTGAAAGTTTTGTTCTGAGAAACTCCGCTTCTCAGAACTCAGAAGCTGTTCCTTGTAGGGACTAGGGTGACAGGGTCCCTGCAGCAGAGGACAGGCAGCCAAAGGAGGAAGGAAACAGGACCAAAATGCAGAATCCTCTGTGCTTTCAAGACTACAGGAATAAATGAAATATCAGGAACCTTTTAATTAGAAGATAGAAGAGGAAACCAGGGCCGTTTTGAATGCCTGTTTAGAAAACTGGAAATGAAAAGTTCCACGTGCAAGGGCTTAGACCTTGAGGGGGTGGAGGACTTGTCCCAAATCTTTAACAAACCCCCCTCAGTATCAAGTATTTGTTAAATTGACATGGCACAGATTTCTCGATTACAGTGGCAAAGCAGGGCTCAAAGGCATCGTAAAATCCATCAGAACCCTGCCCAAAGCGTTCATTCTTTTCCAACTTAATTTATGCCACACCATTCTGTATTGGGGAAATCAAGCAGAAAGCTCTTTTTTTCTCTCTCTCTCTCGCTCCTACTCCTTCTGCTCTTCTTCCTCTTCCTCATCCTCCTGTTTCCCCCATCCTCAGCCTTCCACCCCTAAGTTGGTTCCTATTCCTCTCTCTTTCAAAAGCAGAGCTAACGGGGAGACTGTTTAACTTCAGTGTTTCTATAGGAGCCTGTTGTAGTTTAACTCCTGCGTACCAGTAGCTGAGAGGAACAAAGGGGAGACTCGAGGTCCAACTATTCATCCTTTCTTTGCACTTTAATTTTCATTGATTGGGAAGACAAGGGGAGCCCTTAGGGATTCGAGCTGGAGGGGGATGACACGCCTTTAGACGCCATCAGCCCCCTAGCCAGCCATCTGCTCTGAACCAAATGGCGTTTTTTCACTCCCTAACTGCATGTCTCTATACTCCCACAGCTAAGCACTCAGAACCCCCCAAATGCAGGAGGGAGCTTAAGCCTGAGTATGTTAAATAGATCTGCCTGAATGTTGGCCTAGCCAACAGATTCCCCCTCCCCACACACCATAAATCCTCACCTTGACCATTGGAAAAAAGAAGGAAACTTTCTTTTAAATGCTTTTTGATGTTTGAGCAAATTTACTGTACAAAGTGAAGCTCATTAGAACTGAGAAGACACCGAATACATCAGATACAGGACTTGAAGGAAGCATTTGTTGTCTGGTGGTAGTGTTGATTTTTTTCCACCACCCCCCCCTTCTGAATAATTGCAGTGGGTGGATAGGGCAGACTCAGGTTGCATAATAATCAGAGCTAAGGCCACAACAAATGCATCAGGAGTTCTGTCTGCAAATGATCCTGATTGTTTTCTGTATTTTACTGCTCCATGTGGTAACAAAAACTCCCAGCCACAATCGTATTGAATTAAATGTGCCCGTCCACAGCACAGGCCACTTAACTCTAATCCAGCTCCTACACACACACACACACACACACACACACACACACACACACACACACCAAGGGCTCAGTTTTCAAGGTATGGATATAAACGTAGCTGCAGACAAGGCAGTGTTCATGAACAGCTCCCAAACAGTTCTCAGACTAGGCCAGCACAGGTTCAGTTTTCTGTGTAAACAAATCTGGAGACTTGCGTGGGGTTTGTGTTTTCTCAGACCAACTGAACACTGTATACACAACAGAGGGTTCTCTTATTCCTGAGAATTAGGACCCTTGCTCAGAACAACAAAACTGAAACTTCCAAGCAGCAAATCTGGTGTTGATCAAACATGCCAGCTTGCTTGAGAGGAGGAGGAAGAGGAGGAGGAGGAGCCTGCGTATTAATTAGTACTAGCGTCTCATCTTGCCCAACAGCCCTTCTGTCCATTTTCCTCAGCCAGTTTTAGAATCAAAAGCAGTTAAAATATTGGGGGGGGGACCCTCCTTTCAGTGAGATGGAAAGCCAGCAGGCACCTGTGGCCCACCTGTCTGGTGTGATTATGCTAGGTATTTGCCAAAGTTTGTGGCAGAACCCTCCTTTTAAAGTCTCGCTAAGGTGCCAGGACGAGATTCTCCTGCCTCAACCTCCCGGATTCTGGGATTACAAGCATGCCAACCATAATCCTGGCACACACACACTTTAATGTTTGTACAGACATGTGCACACTTGGTTGCAGTTAGCATTTGGCTTCCATTTAGACTAGAGAATTCGCACCTCAGATGCACCGGCACCAGGTGAGCCGGATGGCCCTAGCCTCGCCTATGCTCTGTTGGCAGCATACTCAAAAGGGTAGTGAATCCGAAAGGCTCTGGCATGGCACCCCGCGAACCCCAGAGTAGATCAAAGTCCTAACTTCACCATGCCATAGGATCCCTTTCCCTTTCGATGGAACCTACTGCCGCGTCCTCTGACTCACATAGTTGGTGGTGTTTTTCCTTTTGGTGGCTTAGATAGGAAACTCAGAGCCATTGTATGAGCTCCGAGGACACCTCACCCTGGGGTGCGTGGGTCTTGGGAAGCCGGCTGCAGAAAGTTGCAAAGGCATGTGCTGATTTACATGAGAAAGGGGGAGGCGCGTGGCTCAGCTGGCGGCTGCCGCGCAGATGACAGATCGCCCCACCCGCGGCCCCTCCCCCTATGCCTCTCCTTCCGCGGAATCGTGGGTTGTCTGCTGCGGTCTGTCCTGCGCTGATTTCCATGACAAAGCGCATGTTTACCTGCGGCTGCAGCCCAGGCGGGCGGGCCTTTGTCCTAGGATCAGATTACCCTGGCAGCTGCTTGTGGCTAGCCGAGAGAGAGAGAGTCACGCATGCACCTCGCTCGGAACTTTCCGCTCGGGAATGGGTGGCAATGGGCTGAGAGTTTTGGACGAGGAAGGCTATAACAGGGGGAAGGCTGCTTTTAGTTTGCGCATAGGATCGTGATTCTCAACTAGAGTTAGCGCCCCCGGGGGCTTCCGAAGGGTGGCGATGCTGGAGAGGTGCATCTGTGCCAGGAAAGGGTGGTCATCCATGGACCAACGGATGAAGGTGCGACTTGAAGGCGTAGTG